CCACAAGATGGCAGACAAGGGCCCCGGCCCCGCCCATCCGTGCGGTTACCGGGCTGTGTGCACCTGCAGCTGCACCGCACTACACAGCTCCTGCGTGTTTCCTGTTCAAGTCGGCTTTCTTTCATTTAAATTTGTTTTTACAAAACCTACCCCATCACTACTAGGACAGAGGAAACTAGTTTCATTTGCTATAATCAGAAGTCACCCATAGAAAACACAATAAAAACCAAGCGAACTTGTAATGGTAAACGAGACTCTCACCTGCCCCTTCTGGGTCAAAACCAGGCGGGCAAGTGCTTGGGAAGGGGTCGTGGTGTGTGACCCAGAGGAGGAGGTGATGTGCAGCTTCCTGTCGTGCTGGGTGCAGGGTTCACCTGCGCACAGCCCGAGCAGCGCGGCCACACCCCAGCACCGAGCTGAGGGGACAGGGGTGCCCATCCCGCTCGGCTGCGACTCTCTCAAGAGGGCTGGCCCGGCCACGCCCTTGCCCCCAGCCGGGTCCCCAAGTGATGGCTGTCAGCGCCTCCTCGCGGAGCCTCATGGAGCCTCTCTCCGCCGGCCCTGGCTCCCAGCAGCCGCTCCTCCCAGCTGCCGTCCAGCAGGGGGCCCCATTTCGGGTTTCCCTGAACTGACCAGGAGGGCTGGCAGGGTTGTGTCTATGGGGACCCTTCCCTGGGAGGGGATGCAAGTGCCCACCAACAGCAGTTCCTTCCAGCAGCCTGGGAGGAGAGCTCTGCTCTGTCCACACCCTTCTGGACCCAAGGAGCACATCCCAGGTGTGCCCGAGTCCAGAGCCAGGCTACTGTGCACCATCAGGGCCCTGCTCAGCCACACCCCGTCCTGCCAGCTGACTCTGAACAGGCTTCTCTCCAAGTCTGGGCGGGAGGATAGCCAGGGGCACAGATCACATCCCTTCAGCACGTCTTACCTTTTCAGGCCCGGCCTCCAGGTGCTGCCTCTGCTCTAAGCAGATCTGCCCCACACGGGCCAGCAGATCATGGGGGGGCATGAAGACCCGGGAGCTCAGGAGAAATGTGAAGATATATGTCCTCTGTAGAAAGGACACAGGGAGAAAGGACAAAGAGCCGGTCAGGCCTGGTGGTGGCCCCCCAGGGGACTCGCAGCTGCTGCTCCCCATCTGGCGGCCACACCTTCCCTGCTCACCTTGTCAGCCCTTCCTTCTCTCACCGCTAACCCCAGCCCTGCCCACCCTGGAGGCACAGCTCAAACCCCACCTTCCAGCAGCCATCTGACTGTTCCCAGCAGTTCTGTTCTTCTGGGATTCTCCAAAACCTCTGTCCCACCCCACAATGGGGGCTAAACCTACCCTTGGAGGTTGGTGGGGCTCTCCAGGCCTGTGTGGGCCGGGTGAGTCTTGCCCAGGGTCAGAGGGCGGGTCTAGCTGGCAGGGGCGTGGCCTACAGGGCAGAGTGGGTCTGTGGGGCGTGGCCTAGCCCATGTGGGTATGGCCTGGTGGGGTAGGCAGAGTAGGTGGGTGAGTGGGGCAGAGCTGGTGGATCTGGGAGTCAAGAACTGTTGTAGGACCCAGGCAGCTTCTCTGACCGGCTGTGGGCCTTGGCCCCAACTGCCACACCAGGGCCCTTCCGTCCTAAGTCCTGGTGCCCTCATTACCGGGATCCTCACAGTCTGGACTAAAATGCAGCACAGAAGATGGCCTGTGGCCAGGGGTTCTCAGCCTTTTGTCTGCTATGGGTCGGTGCCTGCAGGGTGTTCACACTGATCCCTACCTGTAGATAGGGTGGACTTGAAGGTGTAGGTGGCTGCTCAGGGCTCTCAAGAGGGACTCTACCCTACTCCGACCTCGCTCTGACCCAACACGACTGCTGCAGGCTGGGCAGCCCAGGTTCTCCTTGCTCCAGCCTGAAGCAGGCCCGGCAGCGTTTGCTGGGAGTGCAGGCCTCCTGGAGTGGGACTGGGGACCGGGGCCCTCGCTATCCCCATGTAGCCCTCTGTGTGGGAAGAGACCAGGGGTTCCTGTAGCCCCCCACAAATGTCCTACAACCTGTCCCATGCTGTGCGGCATGGGTGCTCAAGTGTCCTAGTCAGCAGGTAAGACAGGCAGGAGCACCCAAGGGAGGAGACTGCGTGCGTGCGCCTGCCGTGTACGTAGCTGGAGGAAGGGAGGGAACGGGGGGAAGAGACCAAGGAGCTTGATGAAGAGCCGATGCCCAGCTGGACTCTCCTGCCCTACTTCCCGCCCCTGCCATCCCTTCTTCTCTGCCAGGAAGCAGGTTGGGATCCCAGGACACAGGGTTCTGGGGATGACCCTGGGTGACAGCTGGTTAAGGCAGCTCCTCTAGTGTTGGCCTATAAGAGGGGTGGGCCTCCTGTTGCCACACAAGGACACTGCCCCACTGGGCATGGAGGCCCGCAGTCCTGCCCCAGGCTTCTTCATGACCTCGGGTCCCTCTTTCTGGCTCTGCCCCCTGGGCACTCAGCAGCCAAGTCTGCACCAGTGGCATCAGCCCCAGCCAGGCCTTGATGGGGCTAATGGAAGGTAAGAGGGACAGATGGGGCGGTGGACAATGCAAAGGCCAGTCCCTCCCCGGGCCCCGGGAGGGTACAGGAGGCTGACGGGTGGGGAAGCTGAGCTGTTGCCGCAGGTGGAAGCTGGAGGGTGCTGCTCCTCCCGCCCACCCTCCCCTGCAGTTGGGTGTGACTGTCCAGGGCCCACAAGCACCACTCTGCCCTCCAGAGGGAGAGGGCAGGCGCAGTGTGGCCAGGACCGGCCCTCCCAGAGGAGGGATGCTCAGCTCACAGAAGGGAGCAGGCAGGCCCGCGATGCCACTGTTGTAAGCGACAGCATCCAGCAGAAGTGGAAGGGAAGCACTCATGACAAGGGAATCCTTTCTCTGTTCCAAGAACATACGATGCCATCTTGAGGTGGAGAGGGAGGGGTGGTCGTAGTGGAAGAGCCCTGCATCCTGCACTCTTTCTGGATCACAGGATTTATGCACAAAACAGGCCTCCCAGCTCAGCCTCGGGCTCCAGGACCCTCAGTGCTGGTCTTGCCTTTTAAATTCCTCTTCTTCCCCCAGGGCCCTGCCCTGAACTCAGGCCCCTGCTCGGCCCTCGTGTGTCTCTGCTTTCTGTGCCACCAGGGCCATCTCCACCTGCCTGGGGGCCACAGCAGGAAGTCACTGCAGGTTCCTCCAGGCTGTCTGCCTAGGTAGGAGTAGATGGCGAAGAAGGTACAGGAGGTGGAGCTGGGCTCCCGCTGCTCTGTCCAGCTTTGCAGCTCTGTCTGGGCTTCCCTCCCCCTTCCAGAAGCAGCCTCTCCTGGAGCCCAGGCAGCCCCCAGCACCACCCCCAGCCCCAGGCACTCACATCGGGGTAATAGTCCACTGTGGGGACCAGGTGCTCCATCAAGGCTTCCAGGGACCCAGAGATGAGGCGACCGTCTTGGAAGATGAGGTCCCCGGAGCCGCCAGCCCCGCCTCCCCGCTCCCCCATGCCGGGCTGCACCTGTCCGCTACAGCTGGGTCCGAGCATACTGGAGAAGACGACGGATGTCTGGGGCATAGTTCCCTGAGAGAGAAGAAGGCGGTCATGAGGCATCAAAGGTGGCTCCAAAAGGCCCTCCTCCCAGGTGGGCACAGCCTGGTGCCTGCAAGAGTGCATGGGGATCGCCAGCAGCACCAGCAAGTGGGCTCCCCGGTGGTCCCCAGCTGCTGTGTGTCTGATAAATGTTTCCTCAGCATCTGCCTGTGCTCACCACACCTCATTCCAGGGGCCAGGACACACAGAGCCTGCCTCCTGGGGTTTACAACCAACGGGAAAAGAGAAACCATGCAGAAAACGCACCACGGAGGTGCAGGGACCAGTGGCAGGTGGTCAAGGCAGCCTGGAGTAAGGTGGCATTTGAACAACTGATAGCATTAGCTATGCAGACCCCAGGGATACAAAAAGAACAAAGGAACATTCTAGACATGAGGGACAGCACGTGCCAAGGCCCTGAGGCCCCATGGGTGGAGGTGATGAGCAGGGGCAGTGGTCTGAGAACTAACGCTGACTGCGCATGCCCAGGGCCCAGGATGCAGCGGGAGTGGGGAGCCAGGGCTCCGAGCACAGCGACCCGACCTGGTGTGGCCACAGTGTGGAGACCAGAGAGAGCGGGCAAGGCAGGCGTCTGGAAGCCAATTGGTGGGTTTCACCACCACCCACAAAGAGGCTGTCGGGTCAGGTGAGAAGGAGGAGGGGTGTAAGATCGACTCCGGACCCTGTGAGGGAGGGTCTCCGGCCGAGCCATTGACCTCCATGAGGCAGAGCATGAGGGCAGGGTTTGGTGAAAAATCTGGAACTTGGTTTTGGACACGTGGGATCTGAAGTGCCCATGAGATGCCAATGTCTGAGCGGGCGGAGCAGCTTCCTAGTGGGCACAGCCCCCACGTGCTTGGTTACTGGCCTTCCAGACTGGGGGCAAGCCTCTGAGCCATTGTGGCCTCAGTTTCCCCACTGTGCAGAGCATACATTAGCTGCCGCCCTCCAGGGGCTTTACAAGCAGGCACCAACCCCACTGTACAAATGCCACAAGGCCTCCTTGGAATTCTTGAGAAATCCTTTGCAAGGAGGAAAGTTGATGGGTGGAGGCGGGGGTGAAAGGTCCAGTCCCCAGGCTCAGTGCTACCCTCATTCCAGATGGGGTGCGGCTCCAGACTCACAGAACTCTCCTCAGAGCGAGGCCCACAGCAGCACCTCACACATATCAGAGCACACATTCTCAGGCCCAGCCCCAGACCTGTTGCATCAGGAACCCAGCCTGGCCCGAAGTCTGTGCTTTAAAACAAGCCCTCCAGGGGCTTCTGCTGCCTCTCAAGCTCAAGAACCACTGACTTGAGCAAATGCTCCATTTTTTAGATGGTGAAACTGAGGCCCAAGGGGAAGGAACTCAAGTAAAGAAATCCTAGGATTTTTAAGTCCAGCCCCGGTGTCACCACTTCCAGGAAGCCTCCTTGGTTAATCCTAGACTGCTGACCCACAAGGCCAGAAGTGGCTGTATTATTCGCCTTTGTGTCCTCCTGCCGGCCCACAGTGGTGCTCAGTAACCATTTGTACGTGAAATAAAAAAGTGGACAGACCCCAGCAGTTCACCCAAGGCCTGTGTACTGTGGGATAACTTCCACAAGACTGCATAGTTCTGGGTTCAAAAGGTGACTGGTGGGTGGTAACCTTGGTCAGTTGGGCCCTCACTCCAAGCTCTTAGGGTCATCAGAGATAGCGTTTTCCAAGCCACTGGCCTCTCCTGCTGCAGAGGCAGCAGGGTGCCCTGGGCAAGAGGTGCTGTGTGGGGACACACTCTCATATCCCACTAACTTATGCAGCTCCGGCTGGTGCCCCACAGGGCAAGGCCACCCTATGTCCAGCCTGCAAGGAAACCCACCTCAGTGCTGGGGAGACCTGCCTGGGAGACCAGGAGACAACCTGGAGGCTCGGCCCACTGGCCTTGCTGCCAGAGAGGGGATGAGAGATCCTAGCTAGAAAAGGTCACCTTCAAGGGTGGGGGCCTCAAGAGGTGAACTGGTAGTGGTGTCTGAGGCAGGCAGGGGTTCAGCAGGGGATCAGAATCCCCTCTGAGAATCTGCAGAACCTGAAGGGTCCATGTGAGACCACCCTAGTGTAGGAATTCTGGTCAGAATTCACTTCACTCTCATGGCCTTCAGAGTTATGGCTTCAATTGTTACAATTTTTCCCATGCTCAAGTTGCTTAGCAACTGAGGAATGAAAAGGAACAGAATGCTATGCTTGTGTAAGATGATGCCAACAACCCCAAGGATAAGCAACAGAAGGCTGTGAGGGGCCTGGGAATTTTGCACTTCTGCAGCCTTTCTCTCTGACATAGCCCCACTTTTGTCTCTGAGTCCCTTATAAGCCTCAACTCCTCCCCTCCGAGGTTGAGGAGAAAGCAGCCACACAGCACTCAGATGGCTCAGTCCCTGTAAGTAACAACCTGTCAATAATAATAATAAACTCCTTGTAAACCATAGGGAGTTGTCCGCTTTGTTCTTTGGTCTCAGGATACGTTCTCAGTTTGGTGGGCATTATACTGTTAGCTCACACTTGCACACCCAGCCCAAGGGGTGAGGGCAGGTGCCCCAGGATCTTCTTGTCCTGATTGTTCTGAGACCCACCTGGGGATGCTGCCCAATGCAGGGTCTCCCCCAACCCCCATATCAAGCTCCTGAAGGTCCTGGGGATGCTGCCAGAGTCCCTCCTTCACCCGCCCCTGCCCAGACAAGGAGCACTTTGAGGAGGGTCTCCAGGGCTCAGTGCCAAGTGGAGAGGCAGATTCCCCAAATGGCTCCTCCTGGCAGGAATGAAGAGCACCTTCAGGTTGGAATCCCAGCTCTGCAACAGGCTCAACTGTTAGATGGGGTGGCAACAGCACTGCCCCTGCTGGCCACCCCCACCCGTCCCTGTGGTCTCTCTGTTCTTGCACCTGGGGTCCTCCTCTTCCATCTAAGCAAGAACAGGAACTGTGACTTGTGGCCATGCACCTGTGTGTCCATACCCCCTGTCCCCACTGGCCCCCTTCTCAGGGAAGGGGCCACTCAGAGCCGAGCACCAAGAACTCTGGACCCCAGCCTGGGAGGAAACACACAGCGATTGCAATCAACATAATAAAACCATAGCTAAGACGCTGAGTACTTAGTATGTGCCATGAGTGACACTAAGTGCTAGAACTAAGTAATCCATCTACTCGTCACAGTAACCTCCCAAGAGAACCGGTTATTCTCCACATGAGGGCAAGGCACAGAGGGCTGTTACCACCGCATATCACAGAGCTAGACTGCAACTGTGCAGGACGCAAGCCAGGCTAGCTGCAGCAGCAGACAAAGAGGTCTCAGTCTGAGCCTGGCTTGGCCACTTGTCATGGCTTTGTCAGGATCCTCAGCCTCTCGGAGCCTTCATTTCCTCATCTATAAAATGGGCACAAGGAGCACTACTTCAGAGGTTCGCTGGGAGGATGAAATGAGCCCCCTTGTGTAAGGTGCAGTCACCAGACGCTTTACCACCTCCTCCCACCCCCAACTGCTTCCCACCGGTGGGACTGCTCAGCGCCCCCTGCAGGCCATGTGGGTGCCCAGGACACACTGGCCCCCAGTGGCCATAGAAAGACAGACCCTGCATGGATGCTCTAAAGCCATGTGTGGTCCCTGGAGCAGCAGCAGCAACCACAACTTCTCCTGAGTCAGAAACTCAGGTGGGAGTGGGCCCAGCACTCACCCTGCAGGTGGCTCAGCTGCATACTTGAGTTGTAGACCCTTCCTCTAAAGCGTCGCTGCTCCAAGTATGGTCCCTGGACCAGCAGCATGGTCCGGCCAATGGCTGAAATGCAGGATTCCAAGTTCCAGGCCAGGCCTGCTGGGTCAAATCCGCATCTCAGTGAGACATGCAGGTGACTTGCGTGCAGGTGGCGGCAGGCTGCAGGAAGTCTGCCCCTGAAAGTCTCAACCTCCAGTTGTGCCAGCCAGACAGGATCAGTGCTTCTCAGCTGTGGCTGCACACCAGAGTCAGCTGGGGACTTTTCACAGGCACTGTGTGCAGCTCCCACCCCAGTGATCCTGATTTAACTGGGCTGGCGGACAGTCCCAGCACTGGCATTCTTCAAGGTTTTCCAGGTGCAGGCGGGAGCAGGAAGCACAGGGAGCTTCTCTTCTGCCTCAGTGGCTCCTGGCTGCCTCCAAACCCATTTCGAGGCTGAGACACTGCAAAGAGCTCAGGAAGTCCTGAGGCCAGGTAGAGAGATGGCGCGGACAGAGCTGGGGTGGACCAGCGTCGCAGACCAGCTTCTGTAGGGCCCAAGCATGGATACTGCAGTTCCAGCTGGGGACAGGCCTACACACCAGCCAGCCTCCTCGTGACTCCTTGCCACTCTCCTCTGTGCAGACAGGAAGGCAGCACCTTCCAATTATAGACTTAACTCAGAAAAAAGTGCACTCACAGCGAGCAGAGTAAAAGTGACTCACTGTCTCCTTGAAGACAAGCCTCGTTAGCTTCCCACCGCCCCTGCAGGGCCAGGTGGGCCGAAGGCGGGCCTGGACGCCCACGTGCTCGGACACCCACGTGCTCAGGCGCCCAGGCTACAGTTTGAGAGGAAGGAGCCCATTTCCATACCAGGGTTTATGTGGCTCTCTGGGGCCCCCTTAAGGAAAGAGTTCCTCCAGGCCGGGCTACACAGGGTGCCAGCAGCCAGGCGAGCAGGCCACACCCATGGCCTGCACAGCCAGAGCGCTGCTGGCGGGAGCTGAGCCCTGAAGCCCTCTGCTGCCTGCTGGGCAGGGTGAGCTGCAGCCACAGCTGAGGTGGGCAGAGCACCGCACTAGGCCTGGCTGTGCCCACCCACCAGCCCCCACCTGGCATATCTGCTGTTGTCCCCAGAGCTTGAAGTGGCTCATGGGGTCCTCCAGCAGCCCTTCTGTGGCCTGGTGCAGGTGACGCTGCCCTGGAGGCCCCCATGCAGCTGCACCCCCCAGCCTCCCACACACCGTTCCCCTCACGCCCTTGTCTGCACCCCACACCGT